CTTGTTTCGTGTGGTGGGCCGTCGAAGTTTGGGAGAGAGGGCAATTAAAAAGGCTGTTTTGGGTTTCCTATTGGATATGTTTTTTATCTTACGGACTCTAAACCCAGGGAACCACCTATTGCTGGGAGATTTGTTGTTTTCTTATATTAACCTTTGCTCTTTCCTACATTTGATCCGGCTACGCCCTTGTCTAAAGATCGACCAGTATGAACCTGCGGCAACTTGACATCAGCATTTCGAAGTTTGCTGCTGATTTGCCCAACCATCGAATTTCTAAAAAATAAATTGATTTTTCCTGGCCAAGATTTGGCATCTCGTAAACCACTAAATATGTATGTTGGGATTTTTGACGTCCTCTTCAGGATGACTTTGGTGTTTACTTTACTAATAATTGTAAGTACTACTCGGAAGAATTTAGTCTATAGTGGATCTCGCTATGTTCATGGTGTACGCCATGCAAAGTTTTTGAGTAAAGTTTACAGTCTCAAATGTATTTAAACTGCTTGTATGTATTGCACGAAAACCTCACAGTGAAAAGAAGGTAAATAATGGCGAATAATGGAAAAAGTAAATTTTGGAGGTAAAAATTGTTTTTTTTTTTGTGGTAACATGGAGTATTTTGTAGGAAGTAGTTGTGGGCGTTATATAAATATTCGCCCCGGGCGCTTAACAGTCTAACTAGAAAACTGGGTATATGTATGTATGTACATTGGGGTGGTAGCATACTAGGCCGTTCGATTTTGGGCCCGTTGTGATACCACGCGGATCGTTAGAACCCTGAAACCATCGTGTGGATTGCGCGAAATCCAGAAGTTACCTACCTCGGTTAACTCGGGTAACTTTCATTTTCTTCCACAAAGAGCGGGGCATTCGCATAACAGGTGCTGCAAGGTTTCTGACTCTTCTTCGTTTCTGCAGCTCCTGCAGAAGTCGTTATGGGAGACCCCTAGCCTCTCCGCGTGCCTTCCGATGGCAACATGGCCTGTTAACAGACCCACCGCTGCGGCTAAGTCCCCTCTGCTCAGCATGAGGAGATCCTTCGGCCGTTTTTCGTTCCAATTTGCCCACGTAAGTTTCGTATTGCAGCAAGTGGTGACTCAAGCCCACCTATCACTTGCTAGTTTAAGAGATAGATCCCTAAGAATGAGCTTGAAGGTAGCGAGCGGAATGCCTAAACACTTCCGGAACTACGAAAGTGGAGCGGATGTGCCCTCTCTTGCAAGTTCGTCTGCCTTTTCGTTGCCTGATATGTTCCGCTGCCACGGCACTCATACCAAGTGAAGAGCAGACTGCTCAGCCATCTCGTTTAGAGACGTGCAACAGTCCGAATAAACGCATTATACTTAAACCAGCTTCCCGAAATAAGCTACTTTTCCGTTAGGGCTGATCTGATTGCTTCAAAAGTGATGTTGTTGAAAGTACGCTCGATGTCTAGAAATGTTATCAAGGTATATTTCTTTATCGTAAAAGATTTCTCTGTAATATTCCTTGAAGTCGTGTAGTGGTAAGCAGTGCAATCCCCCCAGGCCCAGGATTTTTGAGAGGCCTGAAATAATGGCAGACTTATGATTTCGTTGAGTTTGTTAACTGATTTTGAATTATAGCAGCTTATCTTATATTTATAATTAACATTTTAATAAAAAAAAATTAATTCATTATAGAAAAAAATATTTTTCGATACTTCCGCTAGAAACTGCTTCTTCGTTATAGGCTTTTAAACGTTAAAAAACGCTACGTGGAAAACTGTCAATTGATCACATGCTTTTAAATTAATACAATTTATGGGCAGGGCCCATGATTTTGCACTCCGGGCCCGAGTTTTCTCTGGACGGCCCTGTTTGTAAGTGCCAACTTATTGTTCTATTATTCTCCTGAAGAAGGGTCCATTGAAGAGTCTAGATTTGGAGGATTCTATACTATTTCTATAAAAAATTGGGTTTTTCCATAAAATACATGGAAAACTTTGAGCCCTTTAAGCCACCTCTAAATATTTTTTTTTATAAAGAAATACAGTAGTATAGTTTTTTTCAATATACCTCGAACAATGCTAGGGGGTGAGAGTATTAAAATTCCGACTTTAATTTCTTTGGACCACCCTAATGTACATATATGATTCGTAACACTACTTTTTTTATTTTTTACACAGTGTTACCTAAACCTAATTGAAAGTTAACCACCTGTTTGTAAAGACATGTATATAGTTAGTGTGATACTTCAAACATTTTTAAACTATGTAATTTTATCCGATACTCAAAAATGCATTAGCCATGTGAACGGCAAGATTGGAATCACCGTCTAATTCAACCTTGAACTTTTAGCACCCTTTACACACTTTAATTTCAATCTTTCTACAAAAATACATACATACATTTACAAACATATGTACATGTATGTATTGCATCGGATCGATACTAAATACTAAACTCTGTTGCCAAACAAAGTAATGGGGAAGTTTTAAATACCAACTGAAAAAAGTTATACATACACGCGGCTGTGTGTTTGTTTATCGCCTCGTTTTGTATTACTGTAACTAGGGATGGCCAAAAAAATAAAATAAGCGATTAATTAATCATATGATTAATCACAAACCACAAAAAAATTAATTGCAATTATTCAGAAATAATCGATTAATCAAATTTTTAAAGGCACTTTTTTACAGTGGGTATTCACAAAAACATTTTTCATAAAAAATTTCTAATTCTCTGGTTAATTAGCCTTAAACAAAATAAAACGAGTATTTTTACCGCCGATAATTATTTATTATTTACACATTTTTGCAAAACCAAGAGTTTTGATAAGCGCTTTGTTGCTACACGGTTGCGTTTCCCGGTTGCTTTAGCACCAGCTTTTGAAAAAAGGCGTTCAGCAGCCACCGAAGTATCAACTAAATAACATTTTTCGAAAGTCATCATCTTTTCGCCTTCGTTTGTGTAAAAGAGATTTATGAGGGGCCCAAAGACGTTTCCATAAGATGATTTGCGCACATTATTTAATTTCTGAAGAATTTCTTTACTGAGGACAATGCTAACGGATCTTTGAAATGATTTTTTTCAACTTTGGGTCGAGTAAAGTTGATGTGGCTAGCAAACAAAGAATGTTCGATGGAGCCAAATCTTCGGTCAAATTGTTTCAAGACGGCATCTCCTAATTTTTGGGCGACGAGCTGCTTTGGTAATACTTTAATTATTTGTTCGCTACCGCAATGCACTAGCGGAATTACTGGCTTAAAGTTTTGCGTTTTTCGCCACAGTACAATTACTGTCATTGCCTCTAAAGGTCTCAATATACTAAGGTTTCTGGCAAAATTGTTTTTTTAGTTTCACTTATTTCAACATATTTTGATTAAAAGCAGAATACTGATAAAAATAAAATATTTCACACAAACAACAAAAAATATAATCGATAATCGCATGAGGCTATTGCCTGAAAATTTTAAAATGCGATTAGTAATCATTGTAAACTTATGTACAGTAGTCGAACAAATTATAGCCGCACCAAATTTTAACAAGTTTTAAAATATAATTTTTGCTGTTATATAATTTTGGTTAGTTTTTTTATAGTTCATTATTTAAAAACATCGGTATAAATACAAGTTCAAAGGCAGTGTCACACGTTTGGGTATTTGCCAAAATTTGGTGTGAACACCCAAAGAATTTTTCTTTATCCCAATCACGAAAATTTATTTGTTGAAAACTTCAATAGAACATCGCTGTATTGTACCAATCTTTTGACTACAAAAAAAAAAATTAATTTCAAGCAAGTTAAGAAATTGACTTCTGGCCACAAAATAGGCTCAAATTTCCCATAGTGCACTGCCTTAAAAATTTATGCAATTTAAAAAAAAAATTCAACAAATTTTCGTTAAAATTTATTAAATTCTAAGTATGCAGTTTTGTAGCCCATTGCATTCTAGTAGAATAAAGTACAAGTTTCAAATGGCTAAAAATTTCGATTGATTTTTTAGAATTTTTAAAACGTTCGAAACTTATACGAAAGTTTGTTGATTTTTTTTTTAATATTGCACAAATTTGAAAAACTTGGATTTACACGGGTTTTGTTAAAGAATGAACTATATTTTTATAAAAAAAAAAATAACTAAAGTTCAATAACAACAAAAATAATACGTTAAAACTTGGCAAAAAGTGGTTTTACAATAGGGGTCATCACTTCGAGTTTGGTACTCGGGTGTTCGGTAATTTTTCCCCATGTATTTTGTTTGTGTAAAATTATTTTATCATTATTTTATCGTGTTGGAAGCTTGATAATTTTCAGATAGTTGGTAAACCGCAATCAGCCGTTCGAAATTTATTCAATTTTAAATCTGCTCGCTGCCGAAAGGCATAACGCATATGAGTAAGTAAATTCATTCAATTTACTGTTACAATTTATTTATTTTTTAAAAAACATTTATTTATTCCACGCTAGAAAAATTTATTGAACTTTTTAAAAAATGTATGCACTTTTCGCGCGAAAAATTCCAGGAAATAGGTGACAGAAAGGAATTAACTGACATTTTAAAGCGTGTGTTACCACATTATCAGACTTGCCATCTCGTCAATATGGTAATATTATATTCGGTAATTTACGAGAACAAAACAATGGTGGGAGTTATCGAATACCGAATCAAGACTTTAACCAGTATAGTCTGCGAATTCTTAATAACAAAATTGGGCATTAAAAAATATTCGTCATTATATTTAATTCCACGTGGCAATTTTTAAATGACACTAATTTTTTGTCACTTCAATGCCTTATGGAAATTCGGTATTAGGTTTGTAGCTTTGACAAGGCTTAAATGCACAACTATTGTATGCTCTGAACTTAAGCAATTCTTGTGGCTGTTTGCAACTACAGAATTCATATTTCTTGAAAATATTTTTACGATTATTCTACAATTAATTGATTAATAATCGATTAATGAAACACAAAACTACGATACAATTAAATCGTAAATTGGACCAAAATAATCGATTCATTTAATCAGATGATTAATCGCTGCCATCCCTAACTGTAACACATGTAACAACAAGAAAATAAGCCATTTCACCTACCTGGCACAAATCTGCCCCAAGTCTCCGTCACACATCCAACTACAAACGGTGTGGCATAGAGATACACAAACATAATCATCGTAATCGCCTTGCCATGCGTCATTTTGCCTTCCATTGGTTTGGTGATGACGTTGTAGCGATCGTATGCAATGAAAGCATTCGTGGTAGATGCGCCAATGCCGGTGTAAGCGCCGAGTATGCCATACACCTGGCAACCGAAGTTACCCAAAGCGAATCCCCTATGAAAGCTGTTATAGATGAAGACGGGTGTCTTCAGCATCATGAAGAAGTCACAGATGGCCAAATTGATAACCAGTATGTTAGATGGGGTACGCAAAGATTTGGCACTGTGCGCGAGAAAGAGTTAGAAATTAAAATAAGCTCTTCCGAATTAACTGTAGTCTATCCGCCATACTCACGCCGTGAACACCCAGATGACCACACCGTTACCGACCATCGATACGGTTGTAAAGAAGAGATACAACGTGCCCAGCAGATAGTGTAGGGAAGCAGGTGGTTCCGGATACTTCAACCAATGATCGGGTATATGACGCAACTCTTCTGGCGGCACATTCCAACCGATTAGCCGCACATCTGACATTCTAAGAGTAAATAGTTGGTACTTAAGCTGGAATGGCATGTGGGGAGGGATTGAAAATTAATATTGCATCTACAGCACCTTGCCTCTGCGCGCAGTGTCGACACTGTTGACACATTTCCAAACGGATTCGGTAAGCTATACGAATATTCCATATCCATATCCATAGTGGTCAATATACTTCGTCCTTTTCATGCACTGCCAAACCAAAGCTATCCAAAACAACGCTGTGTTGTAATGAATTCCAGTTTTTTGGAAACACTTGTTCTTTCGGTTTGCTGTGTACACTTTCACCGGTCAACGTTGACAGAATTGTGTTGATCTGCTGTAACAGCTTTTATACTAACACTTTCCCACAAATTGGCAGTGATTTTTGCGAGCACAAAACGGATTAGATTAGCCAGTCGGGTGTGCATTGGATTAGCCGAGATTTTAGTTGGTTAGTGAAGAAGGTTCAGTATAGCTATGCGCTGACAGGGCGATTTGATTTTTTTTTTGAATGTCTATGACATGGTGCTATGATGCGTTGGTTGATTTAACAAATCCGATTTACATATACATTCATAGGTTCTGATACACTCCTTTATATACTCTTTATCATTCGTATGTACGAATATGTATGTTGGTACAATATATCACAAAAACTGCCATGTCAATGAAATTTGCAAGGTTAATGTTGTGAATGAGTTAATTTTTAGTAGCTTTGCATAAACATTAAGAAAACTGAAAGCAAAAATGTCTCTAGGGGCCAAAGCTGCTACTAGGTATTTTGATCTATAGTACACCAAATCCGACTAATAATAACTTCTTCTTTATTGGCGCTGTAACCGCCGAAGCGGTTTTGGCCGAGTCTAAAATAGCATGCCGCTCGTTTCTCTTCTGTGTCAATTGACGCCACTTGAAGCCAAATCCTCCTCCACCTGGTCTTTCTAACTAGCATCGCGACCCGCGTTGAATACTTTCAGAGCTAGAGTGCTTCTGTTAATTCGAACGACATGACCTAGCCAGCGAAGTCGCTACATTTTAATTCGCTGCACTATGTCTATATCGTTGTAAAGCTCATACAGCTCATCGTTAAATGGCAAAGGACCGTAAATTTTTCGAAGAATCTTTCGCTCGAAATCTCCAAAAGCCGCATCTTCAGATGTTTTCATTGTCCATGCCTCCGCGTCATACACCGGCGCAGGCATGATGATTGACTTATAGAGTGTGATTTTTTCACGAAGAGAGAGGACTTTACTTCTCAATTGACTACTTAGTCCAAAGTAGGACTTGTTGGGCAATAGTGATTATCCTTTGGATTTCAAGGCTGGTTCAGAAATAAACGAAGTCGTCTACTTTTTCAAAACTTGTAACCGTCAACACAGGAGATACTTCGTTTTGTCCTCGTCCACCACCAGACCCATTCGCTTTGCTTCTCTATCTAATTCCGAGAAGGCAGAACAGACTTAGCATTGTTTTTACCGATAATGAAGATGTCGTCGGCATACGGTGGCAAATGCCCTTCCCAATTCAGACGGAGCTGGTGGTATTGCTCAACATCGTTTCACACAGTCGAATTATTTTCGCCGGGATACCAAATTCAGACATCGCCTCGTAAAGACAACTTCTTTTCGTGCTGTCGAAAGCGGCTTTGAAATCGACAAACAGACGATTTGTGTCGATCATATTCTTGCGGGTCTTTTTCAAGATTTGGCGTATTGTGAATACCTGGTCTATGGTGAATTTGATAAGGCCCAATCAGTTGATTGACGGTGGGCCTCAGTCTTTCACACAATACACTCGATAAGACCTTGTAACCTATGCTTAGAATGCTGATCCCGTAGTTGGACAGAGCACACTTAAATTGCAGTCGCCGGGCATGCGTTCATCTGACCATATTCTGCATAAGAGTTGATGCATGCACCTTATCAGCCCACCGGTACCGTACTTCAATAGCTCGGCCGGCAGGCCGTTAGCACCTGCAGGTTTGTTGCTTTTCAGCCGCATAATCGCATTCGTACCTTGTCATATTCAGGCGGTGGGGCATCGACTCCATCGTCATCGACCGGGGGCTCGGTTTTGTCTTCTCCACTACCTGCAGTTCTTTTGCTATTCAGTAGGGCGGAAAAGTGTTCCCTCCATAATTTGAGTACGTTCTAGACATCGGTCTCTAGGTCGCCATTGTTGTTCTTACATGAGTTCGCCCTGGTCTTGAAACCTTCCGTAAGTCGCCTAATACGCTGATAAAAATTTCGGGCGTTTTCCTGTCGCCCAGCATTTAGAGCCCTTTGCATTCACGTATTTCGGCCTCTCTTTTCTTATTTTGGCAAATACCTCTAACTTATTTCTTCAGTTCCCTATAATGTCCCCATATGGCTCCTGATCGCAGCGTGGCCCTGTATCCGGCATCCTTTTTCTCTGCAGTTTCTTGACATTCCTAGTCATATGAGTTGTTCTTTCAGGCTCGCTGAAATCCGACCGCTTCTTCGGCGGCGATACTTACTGCCGTCCCTAAATTCGTGCGTCAAGTGCCAAACAACTGTCAAAAATCCTCATTCCCGTACAATTTGTATGGAGCATGTAAGCCCATCAGTGAAAACACGTTCATTAAACTACATTAAACGAGGAATTATCGCCACTTCATTCGCCCCTTGGGTGCCGTAAACAGAGTTTAACCTTGATGGCCTTCTATTCAGCAATCCCGGAAGGTATTTGTTCTTTAGCTTATATAATACACTGAAGCAACGCTTCGCTCGGTTCGGCCATTGAAAGTAGCTAAAAGCCCAATGGAAATCCATAGCTGGTTTCAGCTTAAGCTTGAGTTGAACTCTAGGTTCGATAATCTCACATCAATCTTCAGCCCCTACTGTTGCAAGCCCATCAGTAATCTGTTGTTTTCGTCGTTTCAAGCCGCCGGTTGGGAACCGCCTTCTTTTTGAGACCATTTCGCTTTTGGTGATCAGTAACTTCGACGATGGCTGCGTGGTTTGAATCTTTTTGTACTCTTTCACTATTTGCATATCCTTGCCTTGTTTTCCTCGTCATGTGCCGTATCAGTGCTACATAATTTCCAATCTATTTAAGCATAAACAGTACCTACAGATACCTCTGGCTAATTATCACCCCCGAGGGATTTTTTCTTTTTAGATGCAAGATTTCTTCCGTCATAACCGCCTTCTTTCGGGTTGATCGTCCTTAGCACTTCCACAGACACTACCAATACTATTTTGTAGGCTATTTGCAAAGTATAATTTTGTATGGCACTTGTGAAAACGGCCCTTAGGGCCGGTAGCTTAAAGCCTGGTTGACACTTATCCCCGGTTAAACATCGTTATCGATGTTACCGACACCGTGTTATATGCATGGAGTCGATAACGATGTTAACCGATGATTAGTGTTAATCAGGCTTTGAGCAACCGGCCCCTAGTCTGTATTTTTGTAAGGTAATATAATTTTTTTTTTCAAACAGTTCTACTAAAATAATCAAAATACTTTCTTAGAAAAAGTTTAATGGTTATTGGTGAGTTTTAATTTACTAACATTTGGATGGCACGCTAGCGTGAGAAAAACGGAGATATGGTGGGTAAGTATTAGAACGACGTTCTTGAGGTCAGTGAACTTTGTTCAATATCTGGTGATTACTACTTGCCGGTTAAACATAATTATGGACGTTTTCGACATCATGCGTATAATATGTGATCGATAAAATAGTCGTTGTGTTTAACCGCAGCTTCTACCTCCGATTTATGTTAATCAGACATTGAATCATCGGCCCTAAGGGTCTGGTTAACACTAACTACAGGTTAAACATCGTTATCGACTGTGTGTTATATGTATGTATGTTATGAAGTCGACCACGTCGTTAACGATATTTAGGGCCGGTTGCTCAAAGCCTGGTTGACACTAATTATCGGTTAACATCGTTATCGACGTTTTCGACTCCATGCATATAACACGGTGTCGGTAACGTCGATAACGATGTTTATTCCGGTAAGGTGGAATGTATGTATATGTACATATGGTGGTACGAATATTCGTTTTAACAAAAGCTATTCGCCACCAGTTTTATACAGATCATCCGATATTGTGCTGTTGTGTGTTCTTGTGCAAGAAATTAGTTTGTAGATTGTGCTGCAGTGTAGCAATTATAGCAAGCATATCGTATTTCTTATATCGTACTTAAACGAATAAATATTATAAAATAAAGCTTTTGTACAAAACGTAAACTAGTCCAAAGCTTTTGTATTTATTTTATAAAAAGCTTCACTAAAGTAGCAGCACGCACACTGCTAAATATGTATGTACACGCATAAATTCACACATATATATGTACATATGTAAATACAAATGTTCATACCCTGCGGGAAATGTATTTAACTATAAGAACTTGAAGTTGATTAAGAAGGGACTAAAGGTCACTATTATCCGTATATTTTCTTTGGGGAAAGCTAAGTATATTTCTATGGCGATGGCCGCGAAATAGTTATAGGTGGTATTAGATGTCAACTAACTTTTAACTAACTTCTTTTGGACATAAAATATCAATAAGAAAACAAAATTTTTGTTGTTTGTTTACTTTTTTATTTATTTATGTATGTACTTCATTTTATAACATTATATATTTGCGTTGGACCGATGTATTGTATCTTGGTAGAACCAGTTTAGCCTAGGAAAAACTTTTTTTTGCAAAGATCGGGTTTGGCCGGTAACATATACACGTTTGATGTATCGAATCGGTACCGGGTGCCGAATAGGAAGAATTTGGTACCGACATTTTTTCCAAGTATTGGGTACCGAGTATTGTACACCACAAATGCTCCACTATGTACGCTGCAGAAAAAATTATCAATTGATTAAAATAACCAACTTCTAGTTAGCTTTTTCATATTCAGGACAAATAAAATAAAAGACGAAATTTTATGTTATCATTTTGATGTTATGTCTGTTCGAATTCAAATATGAGACTACCTACAAAAGAACATCTAAACAAATAAGCAAATATGTAATGTTGAATAAAATAAATATAAATATAAAAAATTAAAATTTTTTTTTTTTTTTTATTGACAGTTTATGTCCAAAAGTAGTTAGCTACAAGTTAGTTGACATCTAATGCATAGGAAACCAGTTCTCACTATTTTGCGGCCATCGCCCTTCAAAAGTAGTTAGTTACGGCCAAAGGGAATAGTTAATAAATAGTTACCACTAGTCAACTGTTAGTTAATAGTTAGCTACAAACTAGTCCCATTTCCTGCAGGGTACTTGCTGTATCCGCATGTGCATGAGCTTACGTTTATGTAGCTTTAGCTGCATTTTTTTGTAAA